TAGTTTTTTGTTTTGGCTCGGAGTACACTGTGAGTGTTTATGCTTTAGCATCTTGCATGTATATGAATGTTGACATGATAGCATGCTTGCCATGAGGCTAATTGCTTATGTGATATAACTGCCTGAATGCCTGTGGGTGAATGTTGGATTGCTTGAATTGGAACAATTCATTGGAATCCGTGTTTTAGCCTACTTGCGAGTAGCAAACTTCAAACCATTTCCAAACAAACGGATATACAATGCTTTGTCCCAAATTAGGCAATCTAGTCTATACTTGTTTTGCTGTGCGCATCACGTAATAAAGATTAGCTAATTAACCGGAATAAGAGCACATAATGTTTTCAAAACTCGATATCATAGTTAGTAGAGGCCGATCTTTGATCGGGCGAGCTGGGGTACTCACGAAGTGACCTTCCCCAATCGTACCCAAGTTCCCGAGCCGAGGCAACTTTGGTGATGACGAACACGTGACCTTAGGCACGAATCAAGGTTTCCTAAATTTTCACAAAATAAAATATTTAGGTGGTGACTCTGTATCTGACAAAGCAGTCCATGTTTGGCACTTCTTTCTAAAAATCAGTTTTTCAAAACGATTTGCCGGATTTGGACTCTTTGATGATTCATCCGTCTTGCATCGCACTCGCGAGATTAGATACAGGACCGTGACTTTGAGTCCGAACTGTAGTAAGCCCAAATGAACAAAATGAGATTTTTCCCGGAACGTTCGGGGACGTCTACAGGTGCGTTCTCAATTTCCAGAACGAACGGCGAGTTTTGTAACCTTGCTAATACTTTGTCTGTTGGTTTGTAAGCAAGGTGCGGCATTGGTATTCCTACCTCGACACTACCATGCGTTCGAGGGGCTAACCGCTGAAGGATTGAAACTCTGCGCGGGTCGCGAGCCCTGGTGTCCTCCTTTCACCAGGCCTTTTCTTCAAGCACAGTTTGCAAGTCAGATGATCTAGGCAACTCCGTGTGCCTAGATGACGTCTGGTGCGTGTGCGAGGGCCAATAGGTGCTTCCCTCAGTACAAGACCTTTCAGTTCTCGTTCTCTCAAACCTGGAGTAACGAGTCCTGGAAGTCCACGATTGAGTGTCGCCTGTTCTAAGGCTCCTACTTTCTGTTTGCAATGGTGTGGTATGCCTACCACGATCTTCCGAGTGGCGAGGGGGCGTGTTGCCTTTGCGCCCCTCTCCTGTCGCCACCCATTTTCCTTTTATCTGGCGCTTCATTGACTCTATGTCTGCCGTTATCCTCCTTATTAACTCGTCCTGTTCTTTCACGCGATCCTCCAGAACTTGAGGGCCCATCCTCCGCCTCTGTCTTTCAGGACTTTGAGAGCGACGGGGCTGCTGCCCCGCCTCCCCCTTCCCTCCATCTGGGGGTTCTGTCGTTGGGGTTCTAAATCCGCCATGGGAGGGATAGAAGGCAAACCTTCGCGCCTCTCACCTCCCTCCGGGGTTTGCCCATCAATGGCTGATTGCGGCAAGTCTTCATTGTACGTCATTGTTTCTAACTAGAGAGGAAAGCTTGATCAAGAGGTTTTGTTCTTTGTGGAATTCCCACAAACGGCGCCAATTGTACGAGCACAAAATAATCTTCTCGTATTATCTTGTTGGTCAAGTTTGCACTCTTCCAAATGTCGTCGCTTTACTCCCTGAAAACACAAATGTGAGCTAGCCGGCGGGGGTGTGCCAGATACCTCTCTGATGCCAAAGTTAGCCAAATAGACAAATAGACAAAAGATCTGTGTATTCGAGAATCAAAATTGTGTTACCTCTACATAAGTTATTTTGTGAGCTTTTATAGTTTTTGCCTGGCACAATCCTAGTAGGACTCTTATTCCTCCATGTAAAGTCCTCCTACGAATCACACTCCTGAAAGATAATGTTTATCCTTCAACACCCCCTCACTGCTTAAACCAAGTGAGATGGTTTTACCTCAGTTGGATGACAGTATGACCGAGCTAACACTAACCCTTTGTCACATTTAATCCAGCGCCTTCACATGCAACACATAGCTCGACTCTTTGTTCACTTGTACCTCAGTTTTTTCTGTTGAGACCGAGCTAACTATAGCAAGCTTTGACCGAGCTAACAAGAACAGGGTCTACCATAAGAAGCCCAAATATCTCGGCTCCAAATACTATGACCGAGCTAATTATCACCACTCCGACCGTGGTGACTGTAACCATATTTGGACCGAGCTAACACTAAAGTCCACTCGCTAAGCCCTTTCCACCATGGCCCATAGAACGACCTATTACTACGCCTGGGCCTAGCTCGGTCCTAATGCTCATAAAAACTCTCTCTCAAGTATTGTTATTTTTTCGATTGTCTCGAATTGGATTATAAATTTTATTATTATTATTATTATTATTATTATTACTAATATTTAAGTGTTTTGGTTGCTTAATTATGAGGTATATGTGATGATATGATAATATTTTTATTTATATTTTATTTGTAATTTTTATTATAATAGGACATTACTGACCTATATGATAGCATCTCCAATTCTTTACTAATTTTTTCATTTAATTTGATTCAAAATTTGAGTAAAAAAATTAATTTGATATTAATTATTTCAATAATTTCATCAAATTTTTATTGAACTTTTATGGGTAATTTTTCTTTTTATCTCCAATTTTTCATTTCATCAAATTTGATGGAAAAATCATCTCCAAAGTTTTATTTTTTAAATTTTCATCAAATTCAAATTTGATAAAGAATTTTATGAGTTATCTATTTGATAAAAAAATGACTCTCTTTTGGTTTGGTGAACAATTAATGAAATGATTAAAAATAATTTTTGAATACTTTTTTACTAAATTTAAATTTGATGAAATAAAAAAATAAATTATTATAGATGTTCTGATATAACATTTGAGTTAAAATTTTAATAACATGATGGTAAAATATTATGTAATTAACATTAATATTGGTTTAAACATTTCGATTACAAATTTGTTATTATATTTTATTATTGTAATTATGTAATGATTAATTGTTATATATTAATTATTATAAGATTTTTACCTATATATTCCTATGTTTCCTAAATATGGAGGAGACATAAGAAACACAAGAAGACACAAATACATGAGATATTGAGTTTTAATACGAGAATATTTTATCTTTTTTATGTATTTCTGAGCGACTATGGTTTGCGACTCGTTTATATAGTGGACGTGAATATTAAATGAGGAAGGCTGTGAGGACTTTGAAGCCTCGTTTGGCAACAGGCCGGTTTAATCAAAAAGTTAAAAAATTATTAAAAAAGTCAACAACTCATACCAAAAAGTCAAAAAATTTATTTTTTCTCTATTTTTTGCACATCTTTTCGTAAAAAATTAAAAAATCATCCCCAACATACTAATTTTTTTAGCTCATATTTTAGCCAAATAATCAAAAAATTACTAAATTAGCCTGTTCCCCAACAAGACCTAATTGTATCTTCGAACCGTTGCACTTCGAATATACCTTTAAATGGAAGGCTACATACTTTTAAATAATGTTATAATTTTGTTTCAATTTCATACTTATATCATTAGATTACCATAGTAATATTATCTCAATCATACTATTGTTGTTAAAATGTAACATAAAACTTAAAATTTTAATTTTCAATTAATAGATAAAAGAATAATATGTTATATTATCTTGTGTTTAATTTGATACAAGGCTAACTTATAACAATATTCATAAGTATTATTCATCTTTTCAACTACATTATCTCCTTTCATATCTTTAATAAAAAATTTAAAAATTAATAATTAACATAGCCGGAGATATCGAGCAAGGTGGAGTGGTGGATGTCGAGCGGGGGTAGTACCAAAGAGTGGTGAGAAGAAAATTGTGAGTGCAAATACCTTTTTATCTCGAGTAGTTTTATCTCGAGTTCGGATGGCCATGGCAGAATTTGAGTCGGCTATGGGTTTGGGCGCTGTCTCGCGTCTTCCAATTCAGGCTGCTGCCCTTTCTTCGGTAGCAAACTGGGTGCCTCCGTCTATGGGGACTTTTAAAATCAATTGCGATGTGGCTGTTAAGAGGGGCTCTAATCTAGCTGCAGTCGCCGTGGTCCTTCGGAATTCTAAGGGCCAGCTACTGGATGGACTCACCAAGAAGTGTAGTATTTCTTCCTCTTTTCAAGGCGAAGCTCTAGCTTGCCGACTCGGTTGTCAGTTGGCTCAACAGTTCAATCCAGCGCTGGTGGTTCATGGTGTCTTGAAGTCTTTGTTTCTTATGTTACCATGTGTCTACTTTTTTATTTGAAATAAAAAAAAAATTAGATAGATGAGAGGAAGGGATTTGAACTTTAAATTTATGTTAAATGAATAAGACTTTTACAATTTAATTAGTAAATGTTTTATTTTATTTTTATTTATTTAAATTACACACGCATCGCGTGTACCAACCGCTAATATATATATATATTTTTTTATTGAATATGTTTAAAAATATTGTGCGTGCATTTTAAATTTCTAACCAAAAATAGTTCACAAGATAATCTCAACCTTTTTCTTGAGTAATTTTAATTTCTTTTGAATGCAAAAGAATAAAAAATTAATTTGACAAAAAAAAATCAAAAATACATTTTTAAATTTGTAAATTAATTTTATCCTAAAAAAATAAATTATATGAATAATAAGTATTTTAATATTTTTTCACAAAATCAATTTTACTTAAAAAAAGATTTAAAACAAATTTATGAAAACCAAATTAAACATATTAAAGATATTTGAAGGGAATTTAACTCTAACAAGTGACTTTTTAATTTTTTTATTAAAATTTATAAAAAAATAAAATAATTAATAAAATAAAATATCACATTAAATACATAATATTATTTTTTTTCTTTTCTCATAAATATGACACCTAAGTTTCCAGATGAGACGTAAATCCCGAATTTGAATTTGAAAAAAAAAATAATAATAAATAAAAAAAAAAAAGATCAGAACCTAGAAGTTCATCAGCTGGGAACCACCCCAATTACTTTCCTTTGTGATTTACCATTCCTAATTTTTTTTACGATTATCCGGAAAAAGAAAATAACAGAAAGGAGAGAACGGAAATCAGAGAAAGAAAAAAATGGGTTAGCGGTTGCAGACTTTCATTATCCCGCGCGCATCTCACCCAAAAAAAAAAAACTGACTCATCTCTCTCTTCCTCTTCAATCTATCTAGGGTTTACACCCCTCTCTCTCTCTCTCTCTCTCTCTCTCCAAATTTCAATTTTGATTTTAATCCATTCGATGGAGGAAGCAAAGGCCGGCGCCGGTGAATCGGTGAGGGCTTCGTCGTCGTTGGTTGCAGTCGGTGGTCGGCAGAGATTCACGGTGGAGCTGAGACCAGGAGAGACCACCATCGTTTCGTGGAAGAAGCTTGCGAAGGACGTGAGCAAGGTTAACAGGCCCACCTCCTCGGCACCCGCACCCGCACCCGCACCTGCACCCGAACCTCAGTCCAATGCTCACTCTGTTCTTGAGTCTCGCTTAGCTCCGGTAAGAGTCAGTTCAATTTTGAATTCGTCCTGTGGCGTTTTGGTTTAGGGTTTTGTTAGCGAATTGTGTTACTAGTAATAGTTTTCAGTGTGTGATAATATGAGGCGTTGATGTTTGTTTTGCGTAGAGTTAAACCTAGACATATTATCAATAGAAGAAAAGCGTAATGTAATTGAATTGGCATCTAATGGATTAGGTAGTTGCTTTGTATTGTAGACTGGTTGATACTGTTGATATGGTTCGCTGTTTGCATAAATAATAAATGACTAAGGCCATCTCCAATGCTGTATCAAAGGTATCATCAAATTAGAATTTGATGAAAAGGAGTCCTTTTTCAGCTCCAACAGTTTCATTAAACCAGTCTCAAATCGAGAATATCAAAGTATTTCACCAAATAGAGGATTTCTGAGAGCCTTCAACATTTCACTGTTTGGTGCCGTTAGTTTTGTAGAACCGGACGACTGTCTGGTTGTCCCTCCCGGTCAGTAGAAAACTTCTCACAGCAAAGCATACTCTCAGAAGTGATGGATTGCTCTTGCCGGTCGACCGGTTGTCCCCCCGGTCGATCTGTGTGTTGATGATAGTAAAAAATGCTCCGTTGGAGTACTGGATATCAGATGGACTTTTTATTCAATTTTTTACTCAAATTTGATGAAATAATGTTTACTTCTTTTTTCCATCAAATTTGAGTAAAAGCTTGATCTGATATTGAGTATTTCAACAGAGTTTCATCAAATCACTGGTTGACCGAGAAAATGTCCGGCCGTCGATCGGCCATCCAGAGGGACAACCGGCTGATCGTTTGGTGTTCTTGCACTAACGACTATCTACAGTAATTTGACAAAAGGCTCCAGCATCCTCAATTTGATGAAAAGCTTAAGACATTCTCAATTTGATACCAAACTGATGAAATGGTTGGAGCACCGTTTTCATCAGTTTTTCATCAAATTTAAATATGATGAAAGATCTGATGAAGGGCTGGAGACGCTCTAAGAGCATTTTCAACCTTTCACCAATTTTTTTATTTTTATTTTTATCTAATTTAATTTCAAATTTGAGTAAAAAGCTTGATTTGATACGAATTGTCCCAATCATTTCATCAAAATCTTTTTAGAAATTTCCCTCTCATCCTAAATTCCACTTTTCATCAAATTTGATGGGAAAAAAATCATTTTCAATGCTTCATGTTTTAAATTTTCATCAAATTCAAATTTGATGAGAAAATGACTCTTCCTTGATTTGATGAACATTTGATGAAAGGTTTGGAGATGATTTTTTATCACTTTTTCATCAAATTTAAATTTGATGAAAGAAATGGTGAAAGGATCGGAGATGCTCTAAGAATTTGTGTGTCCCTCACGTGTCATGTCTTCTATATTTTGACAATTTATGTGGCAGCGTGTGTGTTGTGCCACGTTTTCATATCTGTGTCCGTGTTTCTTAGATTGCCACCAATTACATTGAAATTATTATTTTGAAGCTGTTGGTTACCATTGTCAAGTTGTCCATGCATTCTCTCATCATGTGCTTCCATTTTGTGTGCATAAGGTTGTACCTAACTGCAGTGATGGAATAACCTATGATTTTCACGATAGGTTTTTCATGAAGTAGGAATAAATAGTGATTTTATTGGAATGCTTTTCGACTTAATATGTTTGAAGTTGTCATGTGAGCCATCGCATTCATTGAATTCCAGGCTCAATGCAACAAGTGAATGCTAGTCTATGAGTTCCATTGTATTGTACAGGCTCATTCAATATCCTAACAGTCTACTCTTCGGCAGGATAATACCGCAATCAAACGACTGTTAAACATTGAATAGCTATAAATCTGTATTTCTTCATGCTTTTTTTTTAAATAAATTGTCATTGTAACAGAACTATGTTAATCAAAGGTTTTAATTTTGGTATATTTTCTTTGTGGTTGGATGAGTGTTGTTTGTTTTGGAAGCTTCTCTCACACATGCTCAACTTTGTACATGTCACAATTGTCCACATCGCTCCCTTTTTGTTGGAGTAGGGGTGATATCTGATATCACATAAAGTGCATCGACTGTTTATGTGCATTATTGGCAGATTGTTTTGAATCAAATATTTATTTATTTTTAATTGTGTTTTGCTCTTTTAGGGACAACCTTCTGAAATTGACTTGAATGATGCTCCCCCTACAAGCCGTTTTAGTGCTGTTATTGAAAAAATAGAACGCCTATATATGGTATGCAACATTGAACATTTGTTTTTTTTTTGGATAAATAAATGCAACATTGAACTTTGATCTCTGTTTCAGTGACTCTAGTAAGTTCGTGTTGATATCCATAGATGCAATATTATATTATGTAATATTCAATAGGTTAATTGTGAGAATGCATTTTTCTTAGGGTAAGCATAGTAGTGATGAGGAAGATCTTAATGATGTTCCTGATGATGATGAATATGACACAGAAGATTCTTTCATAGATGATGCGGAGCTGGTTGGTATTGTTATCTGTTGTTAGTAGGTTTTGTATGGCTAGTTATATATGCAGCACCTATTCGTTCTCATGATAACATTTTACATCTATTAACAGTGCCATCATAATGCTTCTGCTTTGCTGTTATGCAGGATGAGTATTTTCAGGTTGATAACTCAACAATAAAACATGACGGATTCTTTGTTAATCGGGGGAAATTGGAACGCACGTGAGTTTCTCCTAGTCATTATAATAGTACTGTTTTTTTATTAGATAATAATATCCCAGTGACGTTCAAGCTTTCATAGCTTTGAGAAGGGTTTTTTGTGTGTATATTACGTGGTGCCATCCTGAGTTTACCAGTTTATGGTGATGTCTGGTTGTTAGATTTATGCTAGAGAAATCAAGCCAATGCTTTGTTTTGGTGTGGTTAAATTTGTTGTTTGTTCTCCCCACCTCCCTAACTTTCTTTATTCTCTTTGTTTTTCTTTTGCTAGAAATGAACCTACCTTATTGTCTAACCAACAACCAAAGAAAAGAAGAAGGAAAGATTTGGCAAAAGGTCAGGGTGAGGGTGATGATGATCACATGCCAAATAAACATGTAAAAGTGGGAAAGAAGGTGGCTGGGAAGTCAGTGCCATTGGTTGGAAAGAACTCTTCTGGTCACTCTCACATTGTGGCTCTACCTATTGTACATCATGAAGATACGAAATTTCAGAATCAGATGAATTCTTCTGTAATTTGTGCTAAGAAGAAATCTGCTGAAACAAAAACTCTATTGGATCCATCTCCTCCTTCAAAAGTTCCAAATGGTGATGCTTCTTTGTCTATACCAGAGGAAAAGGATATTGACAAGCAGAAGACAGGAATGGCCTCTTCTAAGTACCAGGGTAACAAATTGAAAGACGGAGGTGAATTTTCCGATCCTTCGGTTCAGAGGTCTCATGGCAAAAGTTCTTATACACAAAGCAAATCTCAACCTGGAAAACTATTGAATAATGTCAATGAGTCAGATCAATCAGTTCAGAGGAGAGAAAAAGATGGCATTCGTGAAAGGCCTGACCTCAATGTTTATGAGGGAAAATATCCCATGCAAACTGTGGTGAGTAGTTCTTTGTGAATCCTCTTTCTCCTCTCTCTTTGCATTACATTAGTGGATTAATGTGATGCGTGCAAAGTGTTGCCACATGAAGGAATTTCTAGATGGCTTTGGCAATTAGTTTAATTCTAATCAATTTTAAGTTTTCCCCTGTACTTGTCAACGACATTTGGTTTTTCTATGTGACCTCAATGTAACCTTCAATTCCACTAATGAATTATCAATTTTTTTTTGACTTTATGTGTCCTAACAATTTTTTGGTAGCTTTTACATTTTGTGCTTGTAACTGAAATTCAAGCAAATATTGATTTTGTATTCTAAAATCATGCAGAAGGCTCCACTCATGCAGAGAAAGGAAGGTTTAAATGTTAGGCCAAAAAGTACGATGCTCGAGAAGGCCATTAGGGAGTTGGAGAAGATGGTTGCAGAATGTATGTTTGAGTATTTCTTTCTATTATAGTATTTAGTCGTAATTATACATTGAATCATTACTATAAATCACATAATCAATTAATTGTATGTCTCTTTGTAAATATCAGCAAGACCACCAACCATGGAAGTTCAGGATGCTGATATTTCGTCTCAGGCAGTCAAGCGGAGGTTGCCACATGAAGTAAAGCAGAAGCTGGCCAAAGTTGCTAGACTAGCGGTACTAGAAAGTTAACATGACTATTATTATATGATCCTTGGTTTGTGGTCTAACGTAGTTTGTCTTGTACTCGCATTTTCTTTTTGTTAACCTCTCATTGTGGCCTTTAAAGAAATAAAAAAATTGACTTTTACTTGTTGGGTTAAATATGAACATATATTGTTTGGTTGTTGCAGCAAGCAAACCATGGAAAAATATCGATGGAGCTGGTCAATCGTCTTATGAGTATTGTTGGTCACATGGTACAACTGAGGACGTTAAAGGTATTTCTTTTTGGAGGAGAATTAATTCTTTAATAAATGTTGCTTCATTTTCTTCTTGATGTTAACTCTCACCCAAGGCCTACTTCACTTAACTGGGTAAGGCTTGGGTGGTAACTGTGATTGTTAGAATGATGGAAAGTGGTGATGAGAATGTGAATCTGAATAAGGATTATTTGACAACTTGTTAGGATGATTCTGGACAAATCTCAAAAATAATTTTTGGGAATAGCTTGACATTTTTTGATCCTTTAGAAAATATTTGATAATGACACTGGTGATAATAAGTTTCTAAATTAAAAATTCTACGGTTTTGTGTGTGTGTGTGTGTGTGTTTGTGATTATAAAATAGAATTTGGTTTCTCTCTTCCTTTATTGTCCCTCTCCTTGTCTGGAACTCAGCCTACCATCACGCTAGCCAATTGAAAGCTCCATTTAGCCAATGTCTAAATCCAGATGGAAAAAACAGAGATCAAATTCAACCTTGCTGGGGAAAGGTGATTTGCCGTCTGCCGTCATGCGTCTTAGGCTGTGTTTGGATCTTGATTTGGGGAGGGATTTGTATAGGAAGACGAAAAGTGAATAAAATATAAGCTAAATTTTTTTCACTCTTTCTTTCTTTTTTCCCATTCCTTTCACAAATCCCTCCCCAAATCCTAGATCCAAACACAAGCTTAATAATTTTTATTTATTTGTTTTATTCCTTGCCAATATCCAGCCAAGAAGGCAATCACTTTGTATATGGGAACAAATGAAGCACGGACCATTTCCCATGGGCATGGGAAGGCATATCCTGCACCTAACCAACACATCCTAATAAGATTTCTGGAACTATTGGATTATATTCATAAATTCAATTATGGAAACATTTCTTGGCAATTTAATAGCATATTATATATGCTTTCAAGTTATGCCAGAATGTATCTAGTTTGAAGAAATTAAGACAGTTCACTGCAGGGTTGGACAATAAGAATATTTAAAAATCTTCACTGAATAGTAGAATTCTGCTGCTTTTGTTTTGGCGAAGTTAATGTTGTCTCCTTTGTTTTTGATGGTTGAAACAGCATAGCATGTAGGTTAATTTGAAATCACAATAAAGAGGTCATAGTGCAATTCTTTAGTTCTCATAATTTTTTTTACTAAAGTTCTTGCTTTCAATTATCATGTTGATCATTGATTGATGCAGCATGTTGATCATTGATTAATGCAGCATTTTTTTTTTTTTTTTGGCAACAGAGAAACCTAAAAGTCATGGTTAATATGGGTTTGTCAGCAAAAAAGGAGAAAGATGATAGATTTCAGCTGATGAAAAAGGAAGTTGCTGAGCTGATTAGGATGCGGGTGCCATATATAAAGTCCAAGGTAAGATTTTCACCCCCACCCCTTCCCCTGCCCACACACCCAACAAAAAGGAAAGATATTCTTTGTCTATTTGCGGTGATATTGTTGAGGCTTTTACTGAGTCAAAATGGAATTTCTTCCATTGTGATGTGGAACAACTTGAATAATTTTGTTTTTCCTGCGATGCTTGTGCAGAATATTGATGACTAGTTTTTGTATAATTCTATGTTTTTTCAGGCACTGGAGCAACAAGCTGGAGCATCTGATGATTTTCTGGAAATTGGCAATGAAGAGAAAGACGTAATTAAACGAAAATATAGCATGGATGATGCGTTGGAGGACAAGATTTGTGATCTCTATGACCTCTACATAGAAGTACTGATTTGTGTTCACAATTATCCCTTTTAAGGTATTTTCTGTTTTTGAGAAAATTTCCTCTCATACTGTATCCTAAGTGTTTATTCTTTGGTTCCAGGGGCTGGATGACGATGCAGGTCCACAAGTGAGAAAGCTGTATGCAGAGGTAGTTGGCCTGTGGTTTCTTTTAATTATGTTGAAAGTAGGAAGGGCCTATTATAGAATTATGTGTCTGCTTATATGGTGGTTCATGTGAAACTTTTCAAATGATGTGTTATGTGGCTGTGATTTTATTGTCTTGCTCTTTCTTCCTTTTCCAGTGATTGGTTGTAAATTATTAGTTGTTGTGACTGGTCAAACCTTATGAAGTTATTTCTATAAAACTTATTTGACTTTTTCCGTTGTTTCTGCCATTTCTGATGCAGCTTGCAGAATTATGGCCAGATGGATTTATGGACAACCATGGGATTAAGCGTGCTATATGTAGGGCAAAAGATAGGAAGAGGCCACTGCACAGCCACCATAAGGTAGTGATGTTTTCATATTCCATGTTTATGCATTGCATTATTGTCTTTATCTACCCATTGATAGACTTCATCTATGTAAACTGGAAATTCCTGGTTTCCTGAGTACTTGTGATTGAGAACAGAATTTATTAAGCTCTTGCTTCTCCAAGTGCTCTTTTAGACATTATTACTTTTCTTTCGGTTTTTTTTTTTTGATCGACAAACAAAAAGAACTTATTAAAAGTACGGAGTGAGGACAAGGAGTCCTCTTGCAAGAAAAAAAAGGAAAGAAAACACCTATCAGACATTTCAAAGATAAAGAGCACAAACAGCTCCCCAATCTTTGGAAATCAGAAAAGTGGGTCTCCTCCAACATAGGCCCAAAATGAAGCCAAATGACACACTTCTTCCAATAATAAATCCGAGTCTGCTGCTTTGTCCTCAAAGACCCTTGCATTCCTCTCCAACCAAATAACCCAAAAGATAGCAAAGACAACACAATGCCACAATGTTTTTGCTTTCTTGTTGCCACCAAAACCCTGAAAGTCAATTAAGAGTATGTGCACACAAGCCCCCGGAGCCACCCAAAGTGAACCAATCAAAAGTAAGAGTTGATGCCATAAGTTCAAAGCCACTGGGAAAAATAAATGATTCAAGGATTCGTCATTCCTCCTATACATGATACACCATTGAGAACAAGAGTGGTTAGGTCTCCTCTTTTGAAAAATACCACTGGTCGTTATGTTTCCATGAACCATAGACCACATAAAAACTTCACTTTAAGAGGCAAAACTGCTTTCCAAATTTTCTTGTGAAATATAAATGAAGGAACAATAAGCTTATCAGTGATTTTATCAAAAAAGGATTTGCACTAGAAAATACCAGAAGAGTGAATGAGCCAAATCCTTCTATCACATGTAAGTGGAGACAATGAAAGACCATCAAGCAAAGACAGCATAGATGTCAATTCAAGAGTTTCCCTGTTACTAAGATTTCTGACAAAATTGAAGTTCCATGAAATTGGTGCAAAGTTAGAACATGCCAAAGAAGCAATAGAAACATTATGAGAGTGAACAATACATAAAAGTGGAAAATAATTACTTGATTGCAATCTGGTTAAAGTTCTGAACCTTATTAGCAGGAATTGTTCATGTTGCTCACGATTCTTCCTCAAAAGCGCGATTCTGCGCTTCTGACTTAAATTCGTAAAAGAATTACGAGTTTGATGCGAGAGAAACATGAATCTAATCACAAATCTGTCTTCTTCTCATCGGAGCTCCATCGCGGGCCATCTCAAGACCTTCACGGACCATCGCAGACTTCTCCCTTCCTCTTTGCTCGTCTTCGCTAGTTGCACACAAGCCATCGCGACTTCTCTCTCCTTTTCGCTGGTCTTCGCGACGTCTCTCTCTCTTTGCAAGTGGTTCACAACTTCTCTCTCCCTCTTCGCTGGGCATTGCGACTCCTCTCTCTCTCTCTCTCTGATCTTACTTCTCTTCTCAGATTATATAGATATAAAGATAGATATATATGTAATATGTATGTAATATTTTTGTTTTTGTTTTTATAAATTATACTTATATATGTATATATATGATTTTATTTATATATTATATATAACCTTCATATATTATATATATCTGTTTTAATTTATATATTATATATTGCCTTTATAAATTTATGTGTATTTATTTATATATTATATTTATTGATTAAGCTATTTTTTAAAGAAAATAACATAAAATAAATAATTTTTAACAAAAATATTTTAGAGTAAATAGATAAAAAAGTAATAAAAATATTTTAGAATAAATGAAAAAAATTATAATAAAAGTATATAATTAGAATACTTTAACATATGATTTTTTTATACTTCTTATTTGTTTATAACATATATAGTTCCATAAAAAATATAATCTTACAATATATTTTTATGTATTATTTAAAATATATACAAATGCTCCCAACTAACGATTCTTGAAATGTCTACGATTCCACTCTCCCGCTCCCACTTCTGCTCCCTCTTCGTGCAACTAAGTTCTGTACATAGAAATTGTTTACGTCCTAATTCTGTGTGTGCACACTTGTCCGCACTTAAAGAAAGATGAAAAAAGGAAAATAATTTGTATAATGGACTTGGATGTTGGCTTAGCTAGAAACCTACATACGAGGACACAGCTATATTTGTGTCTGTTCATTAAAGAATTACACATTCTGTCTGCAAATTCCAGTGAATTGGTAACATCATTAAAGGACCAAGCTGCTATTGTATAGTTTAAAGAACAAAATTAAGTAATATTGTTGAACTCTTGAAAACATCGCCTCCTTCCCTTGAGAGTCCAGATTAGCCAGCTCAAGCCATTGATGATAGAAAATGCTTGGTCACCCCTGGAATATTGATTCTCGACTGAGCGTGCCCTTGCCAACTCACCCACTCGGTATGCCCGACTTGCCAATGGCCCCACCAAGCAGTGCCTCAATCTTTAGATTGAAGCACTTTACTCACGCTACCTAGGCTATCGCACTCAGCATCACTAGAGGACTTTTGGATTCGAGGCTAGTGTTCAATGGTTCATCTGGGCAACTTGCCAACCTCCTCCTTGGGATGGGGCATACTCATACCAGTCACAGAGAGAGAGAGAGAGAGAGAGGGACCTTGATCAAGACATATGATGCCTCGAAGGCTGAACCATACCTAAGACTAGACTGCTCTGATACACCTCAAAAGGAGCATATCATACATACCCATTGTCAACATATGATGTGCTCCCCAAGACCCATGCTTAGGGTTGTAGAGTTGACTGAAGCTACCTCCACTTTGTCTAACCAAGGGGGTTGAGCCACCTATCCAATCTCAGCTGGCCCCTTATGGCTCGGCCACCCTGTATAAGAAGGTTCCCCAAGCATGCAACAGACGCATACACATTATTGACCTTATACCCTGCAGAGTTATCCATTACCACCCTCCCTCTCTCTCTTCTAGGGCTGCCTTGGTTCTCTTCTCCACTTCCATCTAGTGAGCTCAGTGCCTACCTTGGAGGGTCTACCTTACCTTCCATTGTCCACACATAGTATATGGTTATTAGGAAAAGAAGAAGCTTTTATGAACCTTTATTTTGTTTGAGATGTGATTTCTTACTCCATTTGCATATTATTGGTTTGTTTGGAAAGTAATGGACTCATTGTCTCAAGGTCACAGCTAACAAAATGGAAAATGTTTGGGAGATTGGCATCAAGAGAACATTTTGGTTGCCTCTTGTTTATGCTTTGATTTCAAGTTCTTGTAATAGTTATTGTTGAAATTTCAGTCTCGGAAGTATCTGTTAATCCGTATCTGGAATCAACTACTGTAGTTTTCTTTCACTAGCAACCCTTGGAATCTAACTGATACACGTATTACAACCCAGTTGGCTACAATTAATGTATTTATTGACTTCAATTAATTTTTGTGGGAGACCTAAAGATGCTAATTATCATAGCCATTGAATAAATTGCTTTCTATGTCAATATATGTAGAAGAATACATTAATATCACAAACCACAATGGAGAAATCATGAATGTGACACACAAGTGCAGTCGAATCAAATGTCTTACATTTAATTTCTTATGTTTTGGATCAGGAGAAAATCAGGAGGAAGAAGTTGATTCCAAAGACTGAGGAGGCTGTTCGAGTAGAAACTACAACTACTGCTCAGCCGCAATATGTGCAAGAGAAATTGGTTACTGATTCTGGTAATCATGGTTTGACTTCAGTCAGCAGGCCCATGCCCAATTCAACAACAGCAAATACTAATGTTTGGATGCCCATGCCCAGTGCCACAATGAATGGTCCCAACTTGGACCGGCTAAAACAAGATGAAGTAAAGGTAACTTCAAGTAATCTCAATGACACGAGGACAATGGATGCATTGACAAAGAAAAAGGTGAAGAGAAAGCCAGAATTGGAATCGAGTGAAACTCACTTCCATCTGGAGAAGTTAGTTTCTGCACAGGGCAAGGAAAGACACAAGCCCCATAAGCACGTTACCGGTCCTATCCGAAAACCGAGTCTTCTGTTGGCTCCTCTCCCTCCTCAAAACTTTGAACGGCCCAGCTAACAGGACTCGTAGCTCAATTAGGAAGTTCACACCGCGATGGTGTTTGTTCAACACAAATCTTTGTTTTTAATCTGTTTCCTTTTTTTACCACTTCATTCATTTTGACAGATTGGTTTCAGTCGTCGTGTAATTAAATGTTGGTGTCATGTTGAGCCAAATTCTATTTTCATAAGAGGCAACATAGCTGATTTTTTTTTAATCATTAGATGGGGTTTTGATTGCGTTTGATAGTGTTCAGCCCACAGAAGGAAAATACAATCATCATATCATATATGTAAAGCTCAAAATAATCGAAAAGTCGGGTTGGCTTATTTGTTTCATAAATGGATCCTAAATTGTGATGGTTTGTTGTGCTTCTACCCAGACCACCATGTCCGGGCAGATGAAAACATGGAGATGAAATGAAATATGTTTGGAACATTGAACTGAATAATGCTCTTGAGAAATGTTCATGTTTTGAGAAGTGTAAAAGGTTAAAGCATGGATTTCTTCTTGTTGCCCAACCTTTGGCCAGGGTTTCTTTCTTTCTTTTTCTTCTTATTTATTTATTTATTTTTGGGTAAATTACACCAAATGTGACTTTGTTCTATGAATAATTTGGTCATTGTATTTTAAGTTTAGTTTTAATTTGGTTATTTCATCCAAACTTTTGTTATTTTTTTTCTTCTACATGTACATATCAAGAGACTGACAAATTTATTAAAATCATTAATTTTAATCTCAAACTTGAATTGAATCATCAAATTGAAATTGAACTTGAAGTATAGGATCAAATTATTCAATTTAAAATAATAAAGATTAAAGTAAAATTTAGGTGAAATTATAGAGATTAAAAATGTAATTTACTTCAAATATTTTTTATTTGGATTATTTATCGTCTTTTGTGAACCTTTTAAGATTTTCATATTTTTTTTAAAAAAAAATTAGATGCTATTAGACTAAAAAAATAAAAAGCAAATTTTTAATTGTACCACATTCCTATAATATTTTAAAGCCACGAGATTGATTTTATAAAATTTAGCTTGAGATTTACCACATCAGAGTATTATTTATTTATTTATATTTTTTTTATAACAACAAAACTCGCACATGGGCACAAATTTTGTTTATTTGGGCAGAAAAGAGGAAAGTAGTTGGGTTAAAATAGTCCATTAAAAACATAATAGATTAAAATAATTAATATGGTAAAATATCGGAGGATTTTATTTGCACTAAAACAATAATTAAGTACAGCAAATTTCTCAATACAACTCATTAAATTATGGAAAATTTACCCATAAGTCCTAGTTTCTGAAAAGTTGAACCATTTAGTCTAAAAGTTTTCTTATGCTCTATTTAGTCCCATTTGCACATCAATCTAATGTTTGAAACATTAATCTGATGTTCGAAATCTAATGTTCGAAACATTAATCTGATGTTCGAAATCTAATGTTTGAAACATTAATATGATGTTTGAAACATTGTAATGGGACCTTTCAGTCTATAAGAAAACTTTTAGGACTAAACAGTGCATAAGTTATTAATTTGGGATTTATTGGTGCATCCCCTTTAAATTATTTAGGATTATAATTTACTCTCAATACAACTTATATTTTTTTTTTCAAATTACCTTTCAAAATATATACAAATAATAAACAAATAAAAAACCCTAAATTACACCACTTTAATCTTCAAACTCTTCCATCACGGGTGAGATATCTTCTTCGTTATCATGCCCATCTCTTTTAGCTTATATATGATGAAATTAAGCAAAAAAAACATACAAATGAAATGAGGGTATGTTCTAAAATTGAATTGGCATGAGTTTGCAAAACCTCTGGCTGAAACTGATGTGAATATAGAGAATCCTGTATTTACCCTAAGAAGTGAACACTTATTACTCTCTCTCTCTCTATTAATTATTTATTATTGGAGAATTTTTTTTAAGGTCCCTAATAATAGTAATAAAAAAGGGGTGATGGATCAGGTCCCTCAACTATTATCGCGCGTATTTTTAATTATCTCATGGACCAAAATACTCTTCACAAATCAACACAGAAATTGAGCTGAACTCCGCGACTGAGTTCCATTCCAAACATCCAACCATCTTCACGAGCAAGAGAACAGTAGAATTAGGGTTTCAATATCATCTTCACCATCGACATTAGAGCTTCATTATCTTCTGCAAAAATCATTCTCATTCCTTTCTCACAAATTTCTCTGACCCCGTTTTCACTGTTCATCGTCATCTCAATTCATCTTCGTCACGTCGCATCTTCATCTCAGGGCATATCAGCTCGTCATTAAAGTTTCATCCTAACTCTGGAAAGTTTTTCTACAATACAACTAGATTTTCTCTGGAAACACAGTTAATTGCATTTTATATTAACCTTTCATAAATTAGGGTTTCAGTTTTGTAATAAAAAGCTACATGAATTTGAAAAATGTTATTTCTCTGTGTTTTGAACTTATTCTTGAACATTTTTGTGTGATTTTATCTATAAATTTCTCTGACATTTGAATTTCTCTGATTTTTGCTTGATGTATGTTTCTTCTTTGAATTTTCTCTGGCATTTTATTTTGAAAAAAGTTATTTCTCTGTGTTTTCATCTTATTCTTGAATATGTTTCTGTGATTTTGTCTATAAATTTCTCTACTCTGTAAATTTCTCTGTAATATGTATTTTTAATTGGAATGTCTATCTTTCTCTGGAATGTCTATTACTCTCTTATCTCTGTCCAAGTTTCTCTGGTATTTATAATTTTCTCTGACCACATCACTTTCCTCCCTTGTGTGTCTCTATCATGTTTAATTTTGTCTGGTTGTGTATGTAAATTTCTCTGGCATTTTAATATTATGGACTGGAATGTATGTTTCTTCTTTAAATTTTTTCTGGCATGTTTATTTTGAAAAAAAAGTTATTTCTCTGTGTTTTGATCTTATTCTTGAACATGTTTCCGTGATTTTGTCTATAAATTTATCTGAAATATGTATTTTTCTCTGGAATGTCTATTACTCTCTTGTCTTTGTCTAAGTTTCTCTGGCATTTATAATTTTCTCTAGTCACATCACTTTTCTCCCTTGTGTGTCTCTATCATGTTTAATTTTCCCTGGTTGTGTATGTAAATTTATCTAGCATTTTAATATTATGGACTTGAAATTTTCTCCGGAATGTATAATTTTCTCTGGTATGTTTATTTTGTTCAATTCTTGGTTTCAATGTTGTATAATTTTCAGTGGCATGTTTACGTTGCTTTGTTTATTTTATCTTGCAAATTGTCGAATGAAAATTTTCTCTGGCTTGCCATGTTTACTTTTCTCTGTCATTCATTTTCTGTACTTGCTAGATATATGTTTCTTTTTTCAATTTTCTCTAGCTATATTTTACTTCTATATGTAATTTTAACAATTATTGAAAATTTCTCTGCCATGTTTATGTTGCTTTGTTGATTTTCTCTGGGAATGGAAATTTTATGTGGCTAGATGTATTCCACAGGAAAACAATTAGTACTATGACAGTTAATTTTTAGTGTCTGACATTTATAATTTTTCCTGGCCACCTTAGTTTTCTCCCTTATGTCCAATTTTCTCTGGCATGTTCAATTTTCTCTAGGATTTAATGTTGACATCTTTATGTTTTCATCATTGTCTAGAAATGGCAAAACGTAAAAGTAGCAAAACACCAGAAACACCAAGCAAAAAACAGAAACTCTTTCAGTCTTCTTATGATCTAAGATCAAAAACTAGCAAAACACCATAAACTCCTTGCCAAAACACGCAAGTCTAAGGTGATGAAGCAACTAACATCAAGGTGAGTACCCTAACTTCAAAAGACTCAAGCTCAAGGGGGAAAAAACATGTTAAACTCCAAAGAAAAAGGGCTCTTTACAACATTCAATACTGATCCAACCTCTCATCTGTTGTCTCATTTTTTCAAACACTTAAATTCAATTCAAATCAACTTGTAGAGCTTCAAAAGACCCCATTCTGGTATTTGATCGAAGTTCTAACCATTGGAAGGATGGATCCAAGGAAATCTAGGAAATCTAATGATGATGCAGTTGCAATAATCCAATGTTACAATGAAAAAATAAAAGCATTCACAATTGGTAAAAAGAACTTGACCTTTACAACCAATGACATGACCTTGATTTTTGGTTTGCAATGAGGTAAATGAGCCATGTCATTAAGATACTCTAAAAAGCTAAAATCTGCATTCCTAAGGAGAAGATTCCCAAAGGACACAAGGCTCATTGGTCCTGTTCTTAAAAATGCCTTGGTCAAAGCAATGAAAGGCAAGCAACCAACTGACTACAAAGATGTAGCAATCATTGTTACATTGTACTTGTGTCTCACCTTATTTTTTGCAACAAGTGGGAATTCAATAGGGTGGGTTTTTATAAAGTATGTGAAACCTCTTGAATCAATGAAACAATATGATTGGTCAGAAGTAATCACATCAACATTGATTGATTCTATCATAGCATTGCACAAAACTCCAAAAAAAGTTACGAGATGTGTCATTGCATTACTAGTAAGTATTCAAATTTGCAGTTATCATAGTTACAAATCTGTGTGTTTAGCAAAATATAATTACTTTAATTCCCATCACAGTATTGTCTATGTGAACATGCAAATATTATTGACTTGAAAGGCAGTAACACAACTGACTTCCCAAGATGTGCTAAGTGGAACTTGCAAAGCTTGACGAAACAGCTACAGAAGACACCAGTCCACTCTCTTGCACCTCGACAGGTTAGATTTCTATCGCCATTGAAATCTCAGTGAAATTCCAAAATTTCTCTGACCGCTGGTTTGTTTCCCTCCTTGTGCCTTGATTGATTGAGATCAATTTTCTCTGAACTATCAATTTATGTTTCTTCTTTGATTACCACTGGTTTATTTCTGCCATTGTAATCAACTATCTTTGCAATCCAAATTTCTCTGACCACAATTGGAACACATTAACTTATATGCCCTGATTGATTTTCTGTAATATCTGAATTATGTTGGTTGTTTCATAATTTTCTCTGGCCCATAAAATTGTTTCTCCTTGTGTGTAATTTTCTCTAGCCCATAACTTATGTGCCTTGCATCTTTGATTAACACCGTTTATTTTTACCCTTCTAATGAATTTTCTCTGGAATCCAAATTTCTCTGACACAATTATAGTAAAACATTAACTTATATGCCTTGTTTGATTTGCTCTGATATCTAAATTATGTTGCTTGTTTCATGATTTTTTCTGCCTCATAAAATTAACTCATCGTCTGTAATTTTCTCTGGCTTATACAATTTTCTCTTGTTTGTTTCCTATTAGTATCATTTAGATGAATTTTATTTTC